ATTCTCAGTTAAAAGCTGGTGAGAGGGCATTTTTGCAGAGGGCACCAGGATTACTGCTATGCAGATCACTTAATTATTCTGAGTGTTATGAGTGCAAGTCTCTGAAGATGACAGAGCAATGCAGGGAAAGCTGAAATGAGAGGTAATGGAAGGTAATGAAAAAGTCAGAGGTAGACAAGATGATCCCATGATGTGAGGTCGAGCAAAACAAAACACTTAATAAAGGAGTGTGGAGCTGGAATTAGTCAGGATTGCTGCATGTTCCAGCAGAGTCACCAAAGCAATTCCTCCCCTGGAGTGGGGAACGTGCAGGGTCAGTGCAGGGCAGGGTGAACACCCCACACTCCCTGCAGGCTGCTTAAAACCAGCAGTGCACCTCCTGAAAGGAATTATCCTGTGTTCAGCTGCTCTGAGGAATAAAAAAGATGAAGCTTCTTCAGGAAAGGGACAAAGCAAACGCAGAATTACTGCCAACCCCCCAAAAGAGATGTCTGAGTGAAGGATGAGACCAGAGGCATGGACATCTCTGCAATGCCTTTTGCCCAAAATGAAAATGTTGTTGACATTAGGGAAAAAAAATCACAGCAAATAACTACTTTGAAGTACTTTGCATTCAGACCCAGGATCAAACTGGGTCCAAATCCATTGTCAGGATTTCATTTCATGACCAGGACTAGAATATGCAGTTTTTAGGGAAGAGACTATAGGAAATTCTGCCACACTGCCTTCCTTCTGAACTTATCTGCCAGGGATCTTGTTGGTGGTGATTATTGCATTTATTTATCTGAATTGAGGAGAAATGGCAGCCTCCTTATGGCTTGGACCATGACCCTCCTGTGCTAGGTGTTTTACAAACAAAAAATTAATAAGACACTCCCCATCCTAAATCACTTTTAATCTTAAAACAGATGACAGATGGATACAGGCAGATGGCAAAGGAAAAAAAATGTGACTAGGTCTGATCAAGAATGTTTTCTCATCAAAACCATGGTGATTGATAAGCTCTCCTTTAAATAAATTGGATTTTATAGTCTTGACAAAAGTTTTGCTGAAAAATAAAGGAGAGAATTTCCAGTTAAGGTAGAGGGACAATCAGGGATTAATGATTATATCAATTTAGTGGGCTGTAGCAGATCAAAGTTTAAGAGTTTTCTCTAAATTAGGTATGAATAAAGTGAGGCTTTCATATTTCTGCGTGACTGTTACCCCTTCACTGAATCTGGAATAATCTGCTAATTTTAAACATACACTCATGTGTATGTACAGGGACACACACACCCCCAAACACTCCTGAAAAAGCCTCAGATTTGTCTCACTGCAGAGCCAGACTCAAGTTTTCATGAGGAAACCAGTTCCATTTTCTATGTACATGGAGAAGAAAGATGCAGGAAGAGAAATAGAAATTAATTAATTGAAAGGAAAATGTCAGTGTCAGTCTCTGGCTTGAGCACTGGTCTCAAACTGCTGCAAATTGTTGTGGCTCACACAGCTGTGATAGAGAAATCCCAGTTTAAACCCTCAGGTGTGTGTCCTGGGACCACACTTTTTTTTTTTTTTTTTTCAAAACTCTGGGCAGTGAGGTGGAGCTGTGGTGATTGCTCACACAGGAAAGGCTCAGTGAGGGATTTCCTGATGGATTGCTGCTCTCACAGGGCAGAACTCTTCTTCTGAGCTCTCCTTCTGCTCTTTCTCACTTCCCAAGAGCTCAGAATTTCCCCTTTGTGAGGGTCTTCAGCAGTGCTCAGCTGCACCTCCTCAGTGCCCTGCACTGGCAGCACTGCAGAGAGAATCCACCAAAGAGGTGATGGCTGAGGAATGGGAAAAAAAATCTTGTGTGCCACAGAATAATTTACCTTTCTATCAAAAATTGAACAATAAAAGTGTTTCTATGACCTACAGAAGATGAAATCTTTGATGAACAGTAAAAATGTTTACCTTGATATGAAATAACCTCTCAAATCATAACACTAACAACAAAACTTTATTTTTAGGATGTTTGCCATGCACTGCAAAGAATGGGAAAAATGAACAGGGATCTCTCTGTCTCATGCCCTACAATTATCCCAAAGCAAAGTGATTTTAAGGAAAATTTTAAGTAAGGAATTTCATTTGCATATAAATGCACATCTTTTTCAGCACTAAATGGCAATATCAAAGCTAATTGAGGGTAGGTATTTATTGAAAGTCTGATTTGCATAGTTGAACAGTGGAATAGTGTAAATATATGTTGAGATGCAAAATATAATATGAAAATTCAGCACCAGTATCCCTTTCATTGTTGAGTGTATTAATAAATTAATGCATCACTGTCCCTTCTGTTTTGACATATTGCAACATCTTGTCTAAGATTAATTTTAATACATTGAAACACCCATAAAATAGTTCAATTCCTACTCATTGTGATAACTTTTGTGGATGAAATCAAATATTTCATGGCTTAGATTAGCCATATTTCTTATGTATTTATCATGTTCAATGTGTTATTGACTTAAAAATGTTTCTTGAGTTTCCTTTGCTGCCTGCAGGGTCATTTCACCAAGAACAGAGCTGCAGAAACCTGGGGAAGTTTAACCCAGGCTTTGAAGGACAATGCTGGGACAAGGGTGTTTTCTTGCAAACCAGATCTACCTTCACGAGGGAGAACAGAAATACAAACAAGATTCATTCTTTTGTTTTGTTTTGTTTGCTTTGTTTTTCTCTTGACCAGAATGAAAGGAACAATCAGTAGCAGACAATGAAGTTTTATCCCCTAGTAGGTACAAATTATTCATAAAAATGCTGGAATTTTTTGTCTTTTTTTTAATTGCATTTTGATGTTTTCCAGGCTAAATATAGGTCGGAAAATGAGATTTGTCCCATGGTACCTCTGTTTTTATTCCATTTTTAAAGGATTGCATTTGGATAAGAAACCTTTTTTAGTTCTTACAGACTTAGTTATCCTTTTAAAAAGTTATAAAAAATATTCTTGCAATTAAAAAAAAAACCCACCCTTTCAGTCTTTATTTGAATTTAATTATCCCACTAAGAAAATTTTAATTTTAACATTTCCTTTTAAGGATGGAAGTCTGCTTCTGTAATTTAGAAATATGTCTTGTGAAGTAAATTTAAAACACCATCAGTGTACAGAAAGATGCACATAATGAGGAATTCAGATTCTTTTCCTATAGTCTCTGATTTTTTGTTACTCATTTCCTCCTTACAAAATTGAAAATGGGAATGATATAATTTCATCTTTTCTCCAGCACAGTCATTTAAAATTTGTTAGGCAGCTCAGTTATGTCTAAACACTGAACAGAAAGTGGGAGGACAACTTCCTGTGCTGACTAGACATAAATATTTTTTTAGTGAAAGCATTAAAAATCAAAACCAAAAAAAGGTTTAAAGAAAAGTTGAACTCTAAGAAAAGGATTTGGATTTTTGGAAGGAGCTAATAATGGCAATTCAACTAGAAAGGACGTGGGTTTGTGGAGGAAGTCTTGGCTGACCTGCTCCCTCTCCCCCCATGGACTCTGGCTTGCTGTGCCTTTTTGTCCATTCAGTTTCCTTCTGGCCCCAAACGTGTCTCTCTTTATCCATCTGCCTACATTTGAGCCTTAAAATCCTTGCAAGATACTCCCAATAGCCATATTTAAAAAAATAAATTTTAATACAAAATATTTATTCTGTCTCTGGACAACCTGCTTCTTATGATGGTTTAATGTTCTCAGTGCCCAGATAATTTTTGTCCCAAAAAGTAAAAGCTGAGTAAAAGCCATGAGGTTTAACCCTGTGCATTGTCCTTCACCTGGGACTTACCAGTGGCACACATGATACAGCAATTTTTAACTTGTACATAAGGAAACTGCCTGAGCTGCCACAGAAGCTATTCCTTTCATATCTCAGTTAAAAAAAAAAAAAAAAAAAAAAAAAAAAAAAAAAAAGTAATAAAAGTGCACTCCTGTTCAAGCTGAAGTCTTAGCCACTAAATTTGGAATAAATCCAAAATCACTATTATAGTTCTTCTTTGCCTTTGTGGCAGTATAAGGATTAATGCACTGTATGGGCGTACTGGATGTTAATAAAATAGAATAATTAAAATCACTTCAACACATTGTAGATAAACCTTTGAAAATAAGTAAAAATTCAGTCTTAAGTATGAGAATAATTGGAAAGCATGAGTGTGAGTAACTTTTCCTAAGAAAAGCTACTTTTTAAATGCTCATTATCAGGGTGTAACAGAAGCAAGCCTTGCATTGCTGGAGATAATTTGCACAGAGGGACGAGAAATTGAAAAGGTGGAGGAGTCTGCAGAAGGTCAGGGGAGAGGGGGAAGATGATCCATCTATCATTTCTGCCACGATGCATCTCCCTTTTTTTTGAGAGAATAGTGTGACCCTAGAACAATGAGAACAAAATTGCTCTGCTCTCCTGTTTCCAGTGTCTCAGCATCACCATGGAAGTCTTTCTGATCACGAGCAGTTGTGTTTTATAAGTGCTCATTGTCACAGGAAACACAATTCCTCTGCTTTGGTATAGGGCGCTGAACATTTCTATTTCTGGCAACGAGCAAATTGCTAAAAATAAAAGGAAAAAAAAGAAAATAATTATTATATTTAATGCAAAATGAAATAATAAAAAAAATAATACTATATATGCAGGATCATCTCTTTAGCTGGTTTCTGTTATCCATCACATCAGACTGTAAGTCCTCTGTCATTTTTAAATAGCTGCAGCAGCCACTAACAGCAGAGAACTCGCAGCCTTTGGGGTGCTGGAGCCAGGAGGTTGCCAGAGCATTGGAGAAATCCTGTGTCACCTCAGCCTGGAGGTGACAGACTCTGAACCTGCAGTGCCAGAAAGAAGCACTGCTCTGGTGCCAGGAGAGCAGTGCCACTTGCCAGGGCAAGTGTGGGTTTGTGTTTCTCTGAAGTGCAGAAAAGAAATTAAAGCACAATTCCTTCTTCAACTTTTTTTTTGTACAGAATATCTCAGAAATTGAGCAGCATATTTTTTTCACACGGAAAATTGGTATACACAACACACAGTATGTTAAAAGTCATAAATAACATAACTGCTGATCATAATTAATATTAGAAGACACAAACAGGCTTAAGAACTTGCATTAATCTGCTTTTCTAAGTGCTGGAAATTGTTCTGTGCTTAATTAAGGGGTAGGATAATCTTGTCTTTATGGCTATGCTGGAGCTGGGTAGGTGTTTAAGTCCCTATTCTGCCACATGCTTCCTTTATGATGTTACTCAGAGCACTTTTATGTCTATATTTTTGTATTTGAAAATTGGACATAACAGATCTATTCCTCACAAGAGCAAATATTGTGTCTTACGCTAATTTTATAGTGAATATTTATGGAGTAAAGCAATTTTATTTCCACTGTATGTGGACCTAGGGAGACAATGATTTTTGAATATTGGCAAATATTAAAAAAGAAATAAAATTGGAAAGAAGAAATAAAAAAATCATAAAAGCTCAGCAAACATTTGAAGGAGAAGCCTGTTCAGAAAACTGATAAAATAGATCACAGCAAGGAAGGTAAGAAAAGGCCAAACTGTTTAACTTTTTTCAAAAGGAGAATTATCTTGTCTTGATGTCTAAAAATTTTCTGATTGCTCTTTAATTTGTGAAAAGTCTGAGTTACAGTGAGTGGAAGCCAAACCCAGACCAATTCAGAGTGGAAACAGAGGGACTGTTTTAAATATTTTCTGACAGATTAGAATTTCTATCAGCTGCAATCTTTTAATGAAGGCTAAACAATGTTCTGAGAGAGATTTTATAGCTCAGCAGAACTGACAGACTTGATGCAAAAATTATTGGTCTGCGTGGTGAGGAAGGTCAGTGTGGACTGCCCCAGCAGTTCTGTCTGGCCCTGCAGCCCATAAATCTCAGAATTAATGTTTGTGGCTGAGGCTGATCCCATAATGATGGGGGCATGGACACAGGTGAGTTACGGGGCTTTCCTCAGGCTCTGGGCAATGGGGTGGATGAGAGGGAGCTCCCAGAAAGCTCTCCAGGAACAGCTCATTGCTGCATTTTCACAAGTTAATTCTGTGAAGGGCATCTTATGTTCTGTAATGACAAGTTCTTGTGCCTGACTGTGAATCCATCTGCTTTGTTCTCTGGGTTAGCTGATGAGGGAAAATTGGATTTGTTGGTACAGGGGGTTATGTCTTAAATGAGTGGTACAAAAATAGGTCACAAAACTGAGAACTAAGCTTGCTGTTTATATATTTCTTTTTCCTTTAATCACCCCAGATCCTGTATTTGAAAAGAATGGACTGTGTTGGTTGCCTGCTCACAGATTTGGTCACATTTGTTAATAATTGCAAAGAAAAGGGAAAATGGTTGTCAGCACTCAGGGTCCTGGATGGAGATGTTGCAGAATAATCCCTTCAGTGTCCAGGAGCTGAGCTGCTGCAGAATTCATCAGGAATATGGAAAATTTGGCACATCCTCAGTCCTGGAAGAATCTCAGCTGGTTTCCCAGGGAATTCCAGCTCTCAGGGAATGACCCATCCTGCAGGTGGTGCAGAGGCAGGAGCAGCTCCAGGTGAGCTTTCTGATTGTTTGGTTCTCACTGTTGGCTTTGGTGTTCATGGAGATTTAGGAAGAACTGAAAGATTTCCCTTAAGAATACCATTTTCTCCTGGCAGCAGAGGTAGCTGGGGGCTCCCTGTGCACCTGTGTGCTTTAGCCATGCATGATTGTAGGTATAATTGGATAAGTAACTTCCCTGGAATTACTGGGAACCTTAGTCTTCTTTTTTTTTCTTTCTTTCTTTTTTTTTTCCTTTGTCTTTTCCTTCTGTTTTTTTTTTTCTTTTCTTTTTTTTTTAAGCTTTACTCAAGCTATCACTCCAATACATTATTTTAGGAGGAGAATGTTGCATGTAGGGCAAAAACAAGTTGTTGGATTATTTTCCTCTCTCCATGAGAAAAAAGTATATTTTCTAAAATCCATTTGAGCCCAAATAATCCCCTGCTTCTTCTTTTTTTTTTTATTTTTTATTTTTTTATTTATCCCTTCATATGCTGCCTTGGAAATATTCTTAGAGTTCTATGGATTCTTGGGCATGGTGAAAATGGAAATAGTCAAATGGCTGCTGTTAAAATCAGGATGTGATGAGTCCTTGTGTCTGTACAGACACTGACTTGGATTATTTGTATGTTCACTGTGAACAGAAGAGGCTGGAGATTATTCTGGTATTGTATTATGCTGGGATAACCACTGATTTAGGTGAAAATAGTATATTAGTGTGCTGGATCATATCCATAATACTTTAATTTAAAAGGTCTATGACAGAGCTGATGGCTCTTCATCATGCCCCCCACAAGAAGCAACAGTTTAACACACAACAGGGGGAAAAATAAATGCCTTTTCTCTGAGTTCTTGACTGCTCCAAGCCCTTGCACAAGGAAGGTGACACAGACCTTCATTCATCCCTTATCTGCTGACATTTCTCAAGGCACAGTTGTGCTGAGTGCTCTGCCTGGGGCAGCAGATGTCCTTAGCTCACCTTCTAGGACAGTGCTGGCTCAGGGAGGAGCTCAGCTCTGCCTTTTGGGGAGGCTGAAATCCCAGGGAGCAAACAGCAGGACAGGCACCTTCCCCTGCTCTGGCCTTCCCTCCACCTGGGCTGCACGTTTGCTTTTCTCTGTTCCCATCTGAATTATTTTAAATGCTGCTGCTTCCAGGAGTGGAAACCAAAAAACATGACACAAACACGTAAGCTAAAATTCACTTCACAAAACGCTTTGGGTGACTGTTCCTCTGCAGAGTACAACTGGCTGTTGTTCATAATTTTAAAAAGAACAAAAAAATAGGTCAAACACAACGTTTGTTCTGCTCCAAGTTCTTACTAATATTCGTATTGATAACTGAACTACAGTTTTAAACAAAACCTGGTTTAAATAATAACATTGAAATAAGTACAATTGTTGAAAATATATAAAATATTTTCTTAGAAATATTTATTTTCTTGAAAATATTTCACATATGCTCAAGTTTTGGTCAATTTGAGTAATTGCTTGGGTGGTTGAAATTTATTGTGGGTGGAAGGAAGATTCTGTGTTGTTGCAGCAGGTCAGCAGAACTGAAGGAGTCAAATAAATTGATATCAAAAGTCACTTCAATTAGTTTAAACAATGTCTCTCAAACTAAGAAAATTGGAGACCCTACTATTTTTAGATGCTAAATTTCCCCTGCAACTCTTATGTGTTCTTTCTATTTTCTAACATCCCCTCACTAACATGCACACAGACATTGTGATTGTCCTTCTATACTTCAGAATACATTACTTAAGCAGCTTATAACAGATGTAAAATCTAGGCAAGATACTGCATTATTCATCCCAGTCACTTTGAGTTATTGATTATGCCATTTGGAGGTATTTCTGCACTTGCTTTTTTTCCTTCTCCCTCCAAGGCTGATAATCTAGAAAATAAAAATGAACAGGGAAAAATAAGAACATAGTCTAGGTTTCATTTTCATTTCTTTGTTCAATTCAATAGCACATTAATGAGGCTTTTGTTTTCCTTCACAGCATTCCCATTTCCATATCCTGCACATGGCCATCCCTCAGAGAAGCCTGGCTGCACACATTGTGTCAGCCTTGCCTTGATATGAAGGTACAGAATTTTCATTCATAGAGGCATGGTGAGATTTTTCCTTTCTAAATGCCAAACTGAATGAAAAATACTCTTTAGAGAGTTAGAAAATAATGAATGATTGACATTTGGTGTACAATTTCTTATTCTAGTGAGAGTTTGGCATGCCATTCATTGGGAAATTCAGAGCATTGAATGACATCCACATTTACCAGCTGGGCTGTCAAGGCATAGTGTGTGTCAACACCTTTGCAGGATATCACTTGAAGCCTAATTCCTCTTGTTTGTGGACATCTGACTTGGTGCTTCTGAATGAAATATTGTATATATTTTTTCCCCACTCCCAAACTGTTCATGTCTCTAAAGCTACAGCTTGGTCTCCTCACCCGTAGAGAGTTTTTTGTATGTGGGGAATGGGGACTGGGGAAATCCATGGAAGCACAAGTAATTAATTCCATGAGGTTCTCCTGAGCTGTCTCCTATGCTGGTGCCTTAAGGAAATATGGATCTTATGGCATCTAACTACCAGGAGCTGGTTCAGAGTCCAGCTGCTGGTCAGGAGTCAGGAGTTCTCTTCCTCAGGAGTCCATCCTAACAAAGGGCTGCTGTCACCTAAGCAGTCAGCAGTGACCTGTTTGTTCAGACAAAAACCTCAGCAAGCTGGTGGATTACACCACACCATGTGGAATAGCTGATCTGCTTCACCAAGATGAAGAAATGGGCTGAGAAAAACTTCCCTGGGGTTAACCAAAGACAAAACACCTTTCTGTGCCTGGAGTGTGACAAAAGGTGTGGCACAGGAGGTGAGTTGTCTATCAGAGGACACCTCTGCATGGATACTTTGATAACACAGTGCCAAGTGTGGGTGGGAGTTTGAGGACACCAGTGGCCACTGAGATGTCACACTAAATACAGTTCGATGTCTGAAATGCATAAAAGGTGGTTGAGGTTTCATCATACCAGTACATTCCAGCACCCTGCAGTGCTGGAAAGAACCACAAAATCCAGTTCAGCTGTGTTCTTTCAGTGTCTGCTGTGCTCCTTGCGACAGGGTGCCTCACAAGTGAACCCATTTCACCCTCTGTTGTTCCCCTTTCTGCAGGTTCTCTCTTCTCTCTAAGCAATACTTTACTGGTTGCAGTGTAATCCCTCGGCTTGTTGCCCTACTCACCACAGTTTGGTGAGCAGATTGAATTCTCCATTCAGTGTTGGTTTTTTTGTTGTTTTTTTTTTTTCCTGTTAGCTGTGTTTCTCAGTCCCTGATCATTTTTATTTTTTCTCCTCACTTTTGGGTTCTCTCAAATTCATTTGTGTCTTTCCAAGTGCGTTTCCCAAAAGTGGACTTAAATTAACTGAGGACTTGTGAGTGCTAAGCTGAGCTCAGAGATTTCTCTCTGTGTCCTGCAGGTCAGAGTTTTACTTATAATCCCAGTATGGAGTTTCCTTTTGTGCAACACCTAAGTGATGATTCATGTCCAGCTTGCAACCCACTGTAACTCCCAAATCCCTTCTTATGAAACTGCTACCTAAGCACTTCACTGTGTGGTGATTTATCTAGATTTTGGAATAACAGAATACATGGTGACCACAGCTGCCTGGAATAGGTTTCATTCTTGGCCACAGACCATCTAAATAAATATCTTTACAAGGCTGTAGCAGCTGCTTGTTAGAGCAAGTAGCCAAGAACTGGAAAAATTCTGAGATCAAATCCTAATTAAACTACTGACTCGCTGCATGACCTTGGGTGGCTGCACTCTTTGTGCAGCCAGGAGCCCCAGATCAAAACCTCTCCAGTGAAGTCTCTGAAGAGAGATTAAAAAAAGCTGTACAAAGCAGAACCCATGTCCATCACCAGCAGTAACATTCTATTGGTGTGGTACTCCTAACCTAACCCCTGACCCTCAATGCAAAATACAGCTGTACCTTCCTATATTCTTCTTGTGCTTATTTGTTTGTATTGCTTTGTATCTGCATTTTGATCAAAACAGATACATCCACACAGGATTACAGGCAGCAGTTTTGCACATCTTATTACCTGTTTTATTACACAGAGATGTGGACATTTTTTTGGTGTAAGATGATGCATTTTTGTGAGGAAGTGTGTTGGCTGTAGTGCTCTGTGTCCAAGCTTCAACACAGAAGTTTTACTGCTTTCCACTAATAAACAGAACGTTCTTGACTTAAGTCAGGCTGTGTGTAGAAGGCTAATGAGTTTGGGGAGCTGGGAAAAATTGGAACTGAATGACTACAGTGCTGTCTGCCTGTGAAACTGAAGCTGCAGGAGGAAAACAAGAGCTGGGACATGTGGTTAGAAAAGGGAAAACTCAAAGCACAGTCTTTGCTTGCAGTTTGCCAAGGACCTTGTCTGGAATGTGTTTTAAATGCTAACCATTCATCCAAACAAAGCTGTGCTGTGCCAGTTTGCACAGTGCCACTTGACACACTGGGCAGCTGAGCTGATGGGAAATCTCTGTGAAGTTTGCAGCATTCCCAGGGCCAGGGGAGAGCCAAATGCAGGCACAGCTGCCTCTCTGCAGCTCCGTGCATCCCAGCTGATGGATCTCTTCAGCTGGGCACTGCTGAGCCCCCCAAGACTGAAGGAGATATTTCTGTTGTGCATTTGGAGAGCTCACAGAGATGCCCCAAACAGGGACAAGTCAATGCAACTTCATAGGTTAAACCATTCTCAGAGCAAATCCCATCATGCCTGCGCAGCGTTGCTGCAAGAGTGGCACCTTCCCATTGAGTGGAATGCTGATAACTGTGGAAATAATAGATGTGCACCTCTGAAAGAGCACAAATTCAGTTTGTTTTATGCTCCTCAAGGGATTATGTGGTGAATGAATAAATAAGAAGTGCCAGCTTAAAAAGATTTCTCAAATGATGTAGAAGCAGAGAGGAAGGAAGTGAGAGCAGAGAAGATGGGTGTGCAGGCAGGCATTAT